TCAGGATAGACCTTAGCTCTCCTTTCTGTCGGAGAGTGAGGGCTGCCTAGTAGAATAGCATGGTTGATGGAGACAGACTCCTTCTCTCCTTATTTACTTTATCTGTCTGTAGCATGAACAGCCCTGACATTGGAGAACTCCTGCGGGATTCACAAAAGACCATATGGGATGGGAGCTTAAGAATCCTCATGTTCCTCGGAAGACATTTCTTTTGACCCAGATGAAGAGGCGTTTACCAGACTGCCGTGGGGACCAAGCAACCTCCCCCTCCACAGGAGAGCAACTAAGGGGAATGCTGGCAGAACCATGGATGGATATAGAGTTTGACATTGCCTTTATTAAGGATGGAATTGAAGGCACCTCCTCCAAGCTCACTCTTCTGGAGGCCTCATCAAGTAACCAAGACTACCGGATAACCTCCTTGGACAACAAAATTACTGCGATCCAGAAGCAGCAACTGGCCACCAATGACAGGATCAACGCCATAGAAAACCAGACTTTGTAGACCTCTCTGACTTACCTTACTTTGTCCAACGCCTACTCAACATCCTGTTGCCACCAAAACATGCCAAAACTGTTAAACTCAATGGCATGTTCCATTTGCTGAGCCGGCTACAGCACATGTGGATCTTATCTTCCGTTGTCAGACCCTACAGGACAAGGCCCTTCTCCAAGCAGCTATTTGGGGGAAGACTCCCTTATTGTTTGAGGGCTCCTCTATTTTGCTATTTCCAAACCTCACCTAAAGCATTCTTGCATGGCACAGGGCCGTGCAGTCATTTCTACAAATCCTTCAGCAATGGAATATTCTAAATACCAAAGCTGCTCCTCTTTATGCACCTGGGCACCACAGGGTGAGGAATCTCCTTAAGCTAGAATCAATCTTGCAACAGCCCAGGAAGCACCTCTAGTGGCTGTGTGAGTGACCACCACTGGATGTGTCCCTAGGGAGCAATGTAAACACTGCATTTTCCCTGAAAAGACATTGTTTACATTTAAAAGCCTGCAGGGACAGGCTATAGACTCCAGATGTAGTGGTTCTGGTGACTATAGTGCATTTTTAACTTGTGTACGGAATTCTCTTTAAAAAAAATAAAAACATTGTCATTCAACATGAGTAGGTAACATATAGTCAGGATAGAATAAGTACATTAGGTTATGCAATAACAGAGCTCTGTCATCATTATAAGAAAAGCATGATGAATGAGGCTTTATAAAATGAACACTTACATGAAAGTAATCGAATGCTAAAGACTAACGTGCTTATCCTGTGCGGGCAATAGGTGGCAACAGTTATAATATTCAACTAAGGCTACTATACCCCTGTAGGAATTCTCCTCCCAACCGGTGCTTCATACGTTATATATGGATTCACTATCAGGTTACCAGAGATTGAGGGGGAAGGGAATGGGTTGTTGATACTCACAACAGGATACATTGATGTAACAGCCTGTAGGCAATTATACTATATATTTTTAACCTTGTTATTCCCTGAACTATAAAAAAGAGTGAACTGAGCTACAGTGAATGAAATAAAATAAGGAACACAAGAAAAACCAGCCTTCGAGGAAAAAACAGTAACTGCGGGCTTTGGTAGTGGGGCTTGGACAAGACCTTGGTTCACAGCTGTTCATGTTGCTTGGTAGGTGCTTGGTGCCGAGCTGTACAAGGAGTGAACTCCAATATGGGTTTGGTCCATCTGCTCTTGAGAGCAGAAGGCACTGAGGCACTCTCCACAAGCCAGGCCCTGGCATTACTCATAAAGAATGGTTCAATTCAATGCATGGAGATGTATGAGGAGATGTTGATTGGCCAGCGTTGCATTTCTCTCCACTCCCACCGCATCTCCTTGGCTAAGAATCATCAGAATTGACAATCTTAGCCAATCCAATGCTTTCCCACCCAAGGCGGCAGGGTGGGGCGGAGCCAGAGCATACAGATCCATGCAGAGCTGGAATAAAGGTAAGGTTTACAGCTTTTTTTTAGTGTTCCTGTATAGCTCCTCATGGATTTTACTTCAGAAATGCAAAACAAATTTGAAGTATTCAGTCCAGATTTCAGCTGCTAAGTGGCATTCAGTCTGGTTGAAATCTATATCTTATTCAGAATTGCAAAATCCAGACATTATCGAATAGTGTGGACAATGTCCAGGTTTTGCAGTCCGAATGACCCCATGTACAGTTAGATGGTTTTGCCCCACTTGGTATGGGTCATTCATACTTTGTTTTTTGTTTTTTTAGAAATACATTTATTTATTAACATTTTTTTTTATATATATATATAATTTTTATTAAGCATTTTGGTATATAAACAGTGAATAACATAGCACAGACTATACAATAGATAGCTTTCCCATGTGTACATATAAACCAACTTTTGATATGACTAAACATAGGAGCACGCCCCCATACCATACCAAATAGTACCGAATATTTGTTTTAATATAAGGTAGGTATAAGCTATCTATGTAATCACATACATACATACATATATAATACATCTTCTTTCAAAAACAGGACAATGCATAATTAATACTTAAAAGTGCCAAAAAGAGAAGGTATTTAACGTTTGTCCATAGATATAAACTATATAGTAGGGATTTGTAGGGACACTGATCTGCTTAGAATTACCTATTCCCCATCTTTTATGAGTTCCCAACGGGTGTTCCAGATGGATACCTTCTTACTCAAGTTTTGTTTACTCAACATTAATTCCATTTTGATCTGGAATTTAAGTTGGTTTTTAACTTGCTCCCAGGGAATAGAATTTCCAATTTTCCAGTTTCTTGATATGACAATTTTGGTGGCTAAAAATAGGTGGGTTATTATAATTTTAATCTCCGAGGGCATAAGGGGCCAGTTTAGATGAAGCAAAACTACTTCTGGAGATAATTTCAACGCAAAATTTAAATTTGTTGAAATAAATAGGTGCTTCCCATAGATTATTTAGTTTTATACAGTCCCACCAAATATGTTTATATGTTCCTATGGTCAACCCACACCTCCAACATAGATGCTCTATTGTAGGGAACATCTTCCAATTTTTCTGGAACTAAATGCCATCTGTTTAATACTTTAAAATAAGATTCCATTAGATTTAGCGAATGTGTATTTTTTAGAAACTTTTAACAATGAAGAGCCCCAATTTTTAATTTCTATGTTAATCAATTCTTTCTTCCTGATATTTAGAGCTGGTAGTGTTTTTTCTTTGTTGCAGGATCTACTCAGAGATAGAGCTTTTGAGAGTGGTTTGTCTGACGGATTTGAATTAAATAATGTGGTTATTCTTTTAATCATAATAGACTCTGGTTTTATTAAATAGAAACATAGAGGGGGCGTGTCCTAGACTCCGGAGCGAGCGGTCGCATGTAGCCGGAGCTCCGTGCGGCACAGGCCTACACAAGCTGCAGAGCGGGTGACCCGACATCGCAAGGCTAGAGGCAGAACGATGTCCCAACCCAAACACCGCCGGCAAACCGAACGGGGCGAAAAATCCAACTTCTTTGTCATTAAGGCGAGCCAGACACGAGGATCCGGCCCGCATGGCGAAAATCAAGATGGCGGCGAGGAAGAGCCCATTCCCTCCCCAGACCAGGCGGCTGCCGACTTACCGGTCACACAGGGGATCCTGCAGGCGATGCTGGACACTATGGCAGGCAAGTTACAGCTCACATTACAAAATGCAATCCACTCCATTAATGCAGATGTAAAAGAGCTGGGGGACAGGACGGCCGGGCTGGAGGACAGACTAGTGGCATATGAGGAGGCCCATAATTCCATGGCAGCAAAACTAGACAGCCTCACAGAAAGAATGGAAGCACAGGAGGGGAAAACCGCGGACCTTGAAGACAGAAGTCGGAGGAACAACCTCCGTATTAGAGGTATAGCGGAAAATATAGGCCCGACAGAACTCACGGCCTACCTAGTGGGACTATTCAAAGCGCTCGCCCCTGACGTGCCCCCAGACATGTTCCTGATGGACCGGGCTCACAGAGTGCCAAAACCCACCTTCTTACCACCTGAAACCCCTAGAGACGTACTGCTGAGAATGCATTATTTTCACATAAAGGAAGAGGTAATGAGAGCAAACAGAACCAGAAAAAAAACAGACATGCCGGCGGCGTACCAGGCAATAGCAATATACGCCGACATCTCAGCATACACGCTTAAACGCAGAAAGGATTTTGCAGGAATCACGACGCAACTCCGCCAACAACAAATACCATACAGATGGGGATACCCGGTGAAGCTGATCGTACAGAGAAACGGAAGACCAACTACAATACAAAGCCCGGACGAAGGAATGAAAATCCTTAGAACCTGGGGCATAGAAATTCCGCCCGCAACGAAAGAGACCCAAAGACTCCCTCCATCATGGAGGAAAGCCAAACGCTAACTCGCCTTGCTGGGAGGGTGCTGTGTCGCTGTGCCTGAGAACTGTCCATCCAGCCATGTGAATCCAGGCTTGTATAACATTTGCTTTGTGAACTTTTCTATGTTTAATGGCAACGTAAATGGGAGCTACACTATAGATATACATGCAAAGACGCGGGGCAAGGCGACTGTGGGGAGGGCGGAGGATGTACAGGGACATACGTAATCTGAGGAACAAGGCTAGATAGGGGCCTGGGTCATAGATACAGTGACATGGAGACCAATATCGGGAAAGGCCTAGGCAGTGGAGCTCGTGTTCGCGCCCCCTCCCCCCCACAGACCCCCATAGAAAGCTCCGCCAGGCTACTTTAAAAAAAAAAAAAAAAAAATTAATTATATATTCACTTTTATTACACTATATCAACATGCAATCTCAGGACACGGACAGGCAGACAGCGACAGCCCATCCACGCAACCTTTTCCCAAAAAAAAAGGGTCACCCAGACATAAGCGAAACATGAGAGCAAAGGCCGCGGCCGACGAACCGCAGCCAGGACAGGAACCATTAGTTCCTACCCCCACTGCACCACCGCCTGGTGCATAGCCGATATCTCGGCAAAAAAGTTGATTTGTTATAGTTTACTCATTTCTGTTACCTATTATGTTTTTATGTTTGTATTCATGTGTGCGCCTCATGCACCCCTCCCACTTGCCATACATTCTGTAAGTTACCGACCAAGATCAGATAGAGCGGAGACCATGCCGCTCTCTCCCTCTGCACCTAGAGACATGCGAAATAGCCCTCCTGCTACCCGGGGACAGCCCTTGAGTTCGGAGGAACTGGGACACAGGGACTCCCCGAAATATAAATGTCGAACACAAGCACAAATACCATCCTATGACCACCTCCCACCCTGAAAATCTACTCACACAACGTTAGGGGACTGAACATCCCGGTTAAGAGACACCTCCTATACCGAGAGATCAAACACAAAGCAGTAGACGTTCTATGCCTCCAAGAGACACATTTCATGACCAACGCACACCCCACCGTCCTACAGAAAGATTATCCTATACAAATCCACGCCACATCGGCTAGCAAAACCAAAGGCACTTCCATACTAATTAGCAAAAATGTGGCCTATGCCCCGCATTCCCAACACATTGACCCGGACAGAAGATACGTCATCGTAGTAGGCACGCTCAATGACATGCCTTACACCATAGCGAACATATACGCCCCCAACACAAACCAACAAAATTTTTTACATAAAATTATACAGAAACTGCAGTCAGTACAGCTAGGGACGACAGTCATATGTGGCGACTTCAATCATGTATTTGACCCCTCCATAGATACGACACTAGCTCCAGCTAGAAAGCGCAGCGCACCCCTCCGCAAACAAAGTAAAGCACTCTGCAAGCTTATACACAATAACCATCTGTATGATGTATGGAGAGCCACTCATATAGGGGAAAGAGGGTATACATTCTTTTCGACAGTGCACAACACCTACTCCCGCATTGATGGCTTCCTTATCTCAGGGACAGGGATAGACCAAACGGCCCAGTGAGAGATAGGACAAATTACATGGTCTGACCATGCCCCGGTAGAGCTAACGCTGAAAAACCTCTATGACCCGACCCATAGAAGCCCGTGGCGCATAAACACAACATTACTGAAAGATAGTGCCTTCTGCACGGAGCTGAACCAAACCTTAGCCCAATATTTCCAAGACAATGATCGGCCTGAAACGAGCCGGGGTACCCTGTGGCAGGCCCACAAATCGGTGATACGGGGACAACTGATACAGCGGGCAGCGTACTTAAAACAGAAATCCCGCCTTCAGCTCCACACATGCCAAACAGACCTCCAGCGTGTCACGACACAAAACCAAATAACTCCCTCACACGAACTGCGGGAACAAATCAGGAAACTCACAAGACAGATGCACCAAATGTCCTTGGAACAAGTGGGATACCACCTGAAAAGGCTAAAAGCACAAAACTACACACAGGGAAACAAGGCAGGTAAACTGTTAGCACAAAGATTAAAGTCACAACAAGCAGCCCAAAAAAATAGCGTACTTGCTGTCTCCAAGCGGGCAGAAAATAGTGGCACCCAAAGACATTAGCAACGCATTCGCCAAATACTACGAAGCACTGTACAATCTCAGGGACGACCCAAATACACCCCAACCACAAGGGGCCAAAATAGCCTCCTACTTAGACAAGATCGCCCTGCCCAAACTTACACCCGCTCAGCAAGATAGCTTGTCCGCATTGATAACAGAAACGGAGGTGTTGAGAGCGATTGACTCTCTACCTTTTGATAAAGCCCCAGGTCCAGACGGGTTCGCCAACTGTTACTACAAGTACTTCCAAAGAACCCTAGCCCCTCACATTACTAATGCTTTTAATGAAGCAGCCACGAAACACGCACTCCCGCCAGAAGCCCTCAAAGCTCACATCATTACACTGCCTAACCCGGGCAAGCCACCAATCCACCCACAAAATTTTCGACCGATATCACTACTGAACACAGACACGAAACTTTTCGCGAAAATATACGCCATCAGACTGGGCACGATCCTCCCACACCTGATACGGAACGATCAAGTAGGATTCGTTAAAGGGAGACAAGGGGGGGACAACACGAGAAAGGTCATCGACATTATACATAGCGTTCACAGGCAACATACAGAATGTGTAACGCTCTCACTAGACGCGGAGAAGGCCTTTGACCGCCTGAGCTGGAGGTTCCTGTCAGCAGTCCTGGATAAGTTTGGGATGCCGGGGGCATTCTGCTCGGCGGTGGAGGCCTTATACAGCAAACCATCGGCACAGGTGGTCACGGCGGGCTTCACTTCAGAACCATTTAGCATCACTAACGGTACGAGGCAGGGATGCCCACTCTCCCCCTTACTATATGTGTTGGCTTTAGAGCCGCTAGCGGAGACAATACGGGCCAACAGCTCCATACACGGAGTAACAGTGGGCGACAGGGAATACAAAATCAACTTGTTTGCGGACGATGTCATGCTGACACTAACGCAACCCCAAATTTCACTACCAAACCTCATGGAAGTCATTAAAGAATACGGCCTTAACTCCTACTACAAATTAAATGTCGCTAAATCACAGGCTATGGGTGTGGGAGTCCAGTCTCACCGACTGAAACACTTGAGTGAGCTTTTCTCATTCGACTGGAGGAAGGATTATATTACCTTCTTGGGCGTCCATATACCCCCCCACCTACCCCATTTGTTTAAGCTAAACTTCACTAAACTGATCAAATCATTTACAGACACGCTACACACATGGGAGGGTAAATATCTCTCGTGGCTGGGCAGACTGGCAGCGATTAAGATGTCTATACTTCCCAAACTCCAGTACCTGCTGCGCACGGTCCCGATAAGTCTGCCGGGCCCATACATGAGCACAATCCAAAAGCTGATCGTGCGGTTTGTATGGGCCAACCGCAAAGTGAGGGTGGCCAGCAAGCACTTACAAAAACCGATCAAGGAAGGGGGACTGGGCATGCCCAACATCCGTTCTTATCATAGAGCCACATTGCTGACTGCCATAGCAGCGACAAACGCAGTAGAAGACCCCCCCAATGGGTCCACATAGAAGCACACTGGGCATGCAAACAGGGGCTGTGACACCTATACCAGCTGCCATATAAACTACGACCGACATACACAACCATGCTACCAACCACGGCAGCAATGATTAAAACATGGGACTCTGTGAGGGCAACACTAGGCATGGTCGGACCAAATATAGGGAATATCCCACTCATGAGCATCTCAGTGGGCATACCGACGTTTGATCACACCCCCTGGGTGAGAGGGGGATGTACCCACCTTAGCCAGTTATGCGGGAACAACGAGTTACTGCCGTTCCCAGAACTGCAAAACCAAATTCTCCCTGCACTCCAGACACATATTCCCTTACCTCCAACTGAAATCATTTGTGGCCTCACATTGCAAGGGATCATGTGCAGTGCCACCAAACATTGGCGCCTTAGAACAGATATGCCTACAGGGCAGTATACCCCAAAAAATCCTGTCGAAATTATATGCACTACTGAATACAGCAGATACGAACAGACACAGAGACTTTAGAGAAGCCTGGCAGGAAGACATAGGACACCCAATAGCAGACCTAGACTGGAAACAGGCATTCCAAACGCACAAAGGGCACACATCTTGCGCGACTCATCTAGAAACAATGAGGAAAATTATGTATAGATGGTATATGGTCCCGGATAAACTAGCGAAACTATACCCTGGAAGCTCAGGGGAATGCTGGAGGAGGTGCGGAGAAAGGGGGACAATGTACCACATTTGGTGGACTTGCCCGATAATCACTCCCTACTGGGAGATGGTGGAAGGGGTAATCACTGATGTGATAGGCCGCCCATACAGCCTGGGGCCTGAACAGGGCATACTATTCATGCATCTGGCCCAATGGCACAAGCAGGAAAGACAACTGATATTCCAAGTGCTCATAGCGGCAGTAACCCTGATAGCCAGACAGTGGAAACAACCACAAGCACCCAGCAAACACGATCTCCTAACACAAACATCCACAAACTGGGAATACGAGGCTATGGCAAATAAATACATTACAAATAACCACATGATCATAGACACAAAAAACAAATGGGAAAAATACGTTCAGAGAAGTTCGCACAACTCCAGAACTCAGGACGCATAGGTACGCCAAGACAAGAGTGTTGGAATACAGTACCAAAGCCAGAGTGACGAGGAACGTCTGAGATTTAATCTGGGAAGAGGTCCTGACACGTAGAACCAATGATGCATTGGAGGTAGTCAGGTAGAACCAACAACTAAGTAGCATGGGCCCCAAGGGAGGGCAAAGAGGTGCACCACTCTCAAGAGGTCTATAAACTAACCCTCTTCCCCTTTCTTCCCTTAATTCTTTCCCATCCCTTCTCTGCACACCCTACCCCACCCCCCCCACAACTATCGTGTTACTACTTGATGTGTAACCAGGCAGCCGCTCCAGCGAGCAACCCGCTAACAGTTCAGGTACGCCCAGCCCAGATGCGGCCACCAGACAACCACATTACGCTAGCTCCCGAGGGGAGAAGAACCCAGACTCCCTGCAGGAGGCCAGTACACAAGGATAAGGGGTCGGTACAAAACACATGGGATACGGGCGAGCAACACAACACACGCACCGCAAAACTAAAACTAAGTTACCCACCAGACGCGGGATCAACCACACACGTAGTGATACTACGCCCAGCACTCCAGCCTACACTTGTGACTCCGAGAGAGGTAGCAAACACGGATTGGGGAAAAAATGAACGTTTAACGTTTAATGTGTAATGGTTGAAGTGTATAAGCTAGCATTGGAAATGTGGAACGCGGGAAGTGTGATGTGAACTATGTGATGTGATATATGTACAATGTACTTACCCATGGCAGAACGTGTACGTGTAAACAACGTTGCCTATATCCCTCCCCACCCCTCCCCTCCCACTGCTTTTTGATGTATGACAAAATAAAAATTGTCAAATTGAAAAAAAAAAATAGAAACATAGAAACATAGAATGTGACGGCAGATAAGAACCATTCGGCCCATCTAGTCTGCCCAATTTTCTAAATACTTTCATTAGTCCCTGGCCTTATCTTATAGTTAGGATAGCCTTATGCCTATCCCACGCATGCTTAAACTCCTTTACTGTGTTAACCTCTACCACTTCAGCTGGAAGGCTATTCCATGCATCCACTACCCTCTCAGTAAAGTAATACTTCATGATATTATTTTTAAACCTTTGTCCCTCTAATTTAAGACTATGTCCTCTTGTTGTGGTAGTTTTTCTTCTTTTAACTATAGTCTCCTCCTTTACTGTGTTGATTCCCTTTATGTATTTAAATGTTTCTTTCATATCCCCCCTGTCTCGTCTTTCCTCCAAGCTATACATGTTAAGATCCTTTAACCTTTCCTGGTAAGTTTTATCCTGCAATCCATGAACCAGTTTAGTAGACCTTCTCTGAACTCTCTCTAAAGTATCAATATCCTTCTGGAAATACGGTCTCCAGGACTGCGTACAATACTCCAAGTGAGGTCTCACCAGTGTTCTGTACAATGGCATGAGCACTTCCCTCTTTCTACTGCTAATACCTCTACCTATACAACCAAGCATTCTGCTAGCATTTCCTGCTGCTCTATTACATTGTCTGCCCACCTTTAAGTCATCAGAAATAATCACCCCTAAATCCCTTTCCTCAGATGTTGAGGTTAAGACTCTATCAAATATTCTGTACTCTGCCCTTGGGTTTTTACATCCAAGATGCATTATCTTGCACTTATCCACATTAAATGTCAGTTGCCACAACTCTGACCATTTTTCAAGTTTAGCTAAATCATTTGCCATTTGGCTTATCCCTCCTGGAACATCAACCCTGTTACATATCTTAGTTTCATCAGCAAAAAGACATACCTTACCATCAAGACCTTCTGCAATATCACTAATAAAAATATTAAAGAGAATGGGTCCAAGTACAGATCCCTGAGGTACCCCACTGGTGACATCCCAAGCTTCAAATATACTCCATTGACTACAACCCTCTGTTGCCTGTCACTCAGCCACTGCCTTACCCATTCAGCAATATTGGAATCCAAACTTAAACATTGCAGTTTATTGATAAGCCTTCTATGTGCAACAGTGTCAAAAGCCTTACTGAAATCTAGGTAAGCAACGTCTACTGCACCACCCTGATCTATAATTTTAGTTACCCAATCAAAAAAATCTATAAGATTAGTTTGGCATGATCTCCCTGAAGTAAACTCATGTTGTCTCTGATCTTGAAATCCATGTGTTTTTAGATGTTCATCAATCCTATCCTTTAACATGGTTTCCATCGCTTTCCCCACTACTGAAGTAAGACTTACTGGCCTATAGTTGCCCGACTCCTCCCTATTACCTTTCTTGTGAATGGGCACAACATTCGCTAAGTTCCAATCTTCTGGGACTACTCCTGTTAACAATAATTGGTTAAAAAAAATCTGTTAATGGTTTTGCTAGTACACCACTAAGCTCTTTTAATAGCTTTGGGTGTATTCCATCAGGTCCCATTGACGTATTTGTCTTTACTTTTGACAGTTGAAATAGAACCTCTTCCTCTGTAAACTCACGTGTAATAAATGACTAATTTATCCTTTTTCTTAACTGAGGTCCCTTTCCTTCATTTTCATCTGTAAATACCAAACAAAAATATTCATTGAGGCAGTCAGCTAGACCTTTATCCTCTTCTACATACCTTCCTTCTTTTGTTTTTAATCTAACTAATCCTTATTTTACTTTTCTTTTCTCATTTATGTATCTAAAAAAAGTTGTGTCCCCCTTTTTTACTGACTGTGCTATTTTCTCTTCTGTGTGTGATTTGGAAGCTCTTATAACTTGCTTAGCCTCTTTCCGCCTAATCTTATAGATCATTCTGTCTTCCTCACTCTGGGTTTTTTTATAATTACTAAATGCTAACTTTTAGTTTTTTACTATTTTGGCCACATCTGTGGAGTACCACAGTAGTTTTTTGAATTTTTTGCTTTTACTGACAAGCCTAATGCAATTTTCTTTTGCCTTTAGTAGTGCAACTTTTAAAAAATCCCATTTCTCTTGGATTCCATTTAAATTACTCCAGTCTGATAATGACTCCTTTACACATATTCTAATTTTAGAAAAGTCTGTTTTTCTAAAGTCTAAAACTTTTGTTTTTGTGTGGTGTGACTCAGTCACTGTTCTTATATTAAACTACACTGACTGATCACTGGATCTTAAACTTTCACCTACAGTAATATCTGATACCAAATCTCCATTTATTAACACTAAATCTAGTATGGACTCTTTACGAGTTGGCTCCTCAATGACTTGTTTTAGAGACAATCCCAGTAGGGAGTTTAGAATATGTGTGCTCCTGGCACAAGCAGCTATTTTTGTTTTCCAATTCACATCAGGAAGATTAAAGTCACCCATGATGATAACTTCCCCCTTCATTGTCATTTTAGCTATTTCCTCAACTAGTAGATTATCTAACTCTTCAATCTGTCCTGGGGGCCTATAAATCACACCTACACGACTTACTGTGTGATTACCAAATTCTAACGTAACCCAAACGGACTCTATGTTTACCTCACTAACTTTTATTAGGCTAGATTTTATGCTATCCTTCACATACAGGGCCACCCCTCCCCCTTTCTTGCCTTCCCTGTTTTTTCTATATAAAGAGTACCCTGGTATTGCTGTGTCACAGTTATTTTTCTCATTATACCATGTCTCAGTAACAGTGACTACATCTACAGTATCAGTTGCCATTATTGCCAAAAGTTCATGGATCTTATTGCCTAAACTGCGAGCATTTGTAGACATGGGACATTAAAAAGCTTTTTATTCTCAAAAAGTTGGATAATTGTTTTGATGGTAGATTGAATTCATTTGTCAGTTGGGAAAAGGGTTTGATTACCCCCTTTATTAATAATTGAGCTATACTTAATATTCTAGCTTGTGTCCACTTGTCTAAATTAATATCACAGACTTGTTGTTCAATAAATTTCAAGTCCAGATGATTCTGTATTTTATTTTTATTTATTTATTTTTTTCTCTTTTTTAACATCAGAATATGGTGTTTGTTATTTCATATTTTATGTGTGTCAAAATTGACTTTATCAAACACCAAATCATCATTTGTTTTATTTTCATCTTATTTTCTTTTATATATATGTATATCTTCCTATCTCCCATTTTAATTTATCTTAATTTCCTTTATTTTTTATTTTAAAAACCAAATATACATACAGACTAACTAAAACAAACATTTGTTTGGATCACAGTGTACCGGAATTTTTTTTTTTTTTTTTTATAAAATATATATATATATATATATATATTTTAAAACTAACTAAACAAATAAATAGATAAATCAAATAAGCGGTCCGAGGCGAGGGGTATCCCGGCAAACTCTGTTTTGGATAGGGATTGCTAGACTAAAAGTAAGTATATTACAAGAAAAAAAAAGTTAAATGGAAAATAGTTAATTATCCCGGATCTAATTTTTTTTTATCCATCTATCCCAATAACTATAATAGTAGCCCTTCTTTGGGGCAAAGTTCATAATAGCTCGTTCCATTTTGCACTGAAAAATGCTTTGATGGTGAATGTTGGCCCAGCTATCCACCCTAGGAGACTTCCAATTTCTGGCTATTGAACATTTTTGCTATTTTTTTTTAGGAGTTCTATACCATCTGTTTAATATTTTATAGTGAGTTTCATGTATATTCCAGCAATGGCGAGCTTTGTATAATGTGTTAAGGGAGTTATTCCATTCTTTCATAGTTATATCTATTTTCAAATCAAAATTCCATTTAATTATTGCAGAGTGAATTGGTTTGATCTGAGCCTTACATATTAATTTTTGGCATTTATTGACTAGATGAGTATAGTCTGATTGTTCATATATATCTGAAAGAAATTTAACTGAATGTTCAAGAGGATTAAATCTCAAAAATGTTTTTAAAAAGGATATTACCCGTATATAGTTAAACCATTCGATGGATGAAATACCAAATTCAGTTTGAAGTTGTTCAAAAGATTTTAGTGTACTTTCTCTCAGGATATTAGATATCTTTTCTATACCCTTAATGATCCATGTTTCCAAATTTAAATTTGTCATTAAATTTGATAGAATATCTAGATTTATACCAGGAATTATCTTCATTTTTAAACCTTTTTTTTTCTTAAATTAATTTGTTGGACTATCAGTGATTTGGAATTTTTAATAATTTGATCTGTTTCTTTATCTATGGACCATAAGAGGGATTTATAATCCCTATCTCCCGAAGTTAGGGTCTGTTCTCTTTTGTACCAATTTTGAATTATAAAATCTTCCTTATTTAATAGTAAAACGTGCTAATAGGTTGGCTTGTGCAATATCTTGAATAATTGGGATACTCATACCTCCTTCATTTTTTCTCCTAGACATAATGTCTTTTTTTATTCAAGGTTTTTTACCTGACCAAATAAATTTAGTAAATGATGACTGAATTAATTCTAACCAACTATCAGGGATTTTTAAAGGAATCATTCTCATAATATATGAAAATTTCAGTACGATATATGCTTTTAATGTATTTATTTTCCCTGACCAGGAGATTTTAAGAATTTTCCATTTTTTAAAAAAAAGGCTAATTTCTTTAATTATCGGTAAAATATTAATTTCTAACCATTTCTTTGGGTTTTTTGAGATTTTTATACCCAAATAGTTGAAAAACTTTTTAACTTGTTTAA